CCAAATGCTTTATAATATAGTATAGATATAGATATATATCAGTTATTTTTAAGGAAAAAGATAATATTTGCCAAGAGAAGGGCATGCATGTGATCTTTTCTTTGTTTAAACATGTAGATCACTTAATAGTTTTATTTTAGATAAAATTACAAATTTCGTCCCTTGATTACTGAAAATATGTTTTTGGGTCCTCCAAAAAAATACATGGTCATTATGGTTTTGATTTTATTTTGAATTGGATCCCTGCTTCTAAATCTATGAATTCAAAGGCTTATTTGATTACCTTACATTTTCTTTTAAGAAACAAATATAAATTTATTGTATTTAATATATATACACACAAGCACGTTGGAATATCGTGAGCCCCCTTCTCTATCGACCACCACCGACCTAGATGTCTCCACTTCCCCGCTGCTCCTTTGCTCCGTCGACCGTCATCGACCAACTTCGTCTTTCTCTCCACTACTCTTCTGCTCCGGCTAGTCTCATCCACACCATCGAACAACTTATTCCGCACCAAGTACCTTCCCCCTCCCTTAGAGGTGTTTGCGGTACGGTTTGGGGATAAACAACAAACTGCACCGTGTATGCGATTTGAACATTTCTTGAAGCTGCACTGCATAAACCTTAAACTGTAGTTTATGCGGTTTGTACTTATCACACTTTATTCCTGGAATCCAGTAATTATAAGTTTAAAAATACATTATATAATCAACGATTAAATATGAATGTAGTCCAAAAAAATAAAGAGTTTCAATACCTCTTGTCCTTAAATACATATTGCATAATTAAAAATAGTCTAAAAAAGTAAAAAATAAATAAAATTCAAACTAAATTGGATATGTGAGTATGCCATATGGGCCTTAAAGTTAATTTATTATTATTGACAATTGTCATATTGATCAAACTCAAAGTCCAAAACATAAAGTCAAAAAATATTACATAAATAATAAATTAATAATTATTATATATGTGTGTGTATATATATATATATATATGTGTGTGTGTGTGTGTGTGCATGTGCGGTGCGGTTTAAACAACGATTTGATAACTGCAAACCGCACTGCAATATTGTGATTTGGAAAAAAAATGCAAACCGCAAACTGCACTGTCAAAGTTCTAAATCACAATTTACAATGTGGTGTGAGCGATTTGGTGGTTTGGATGAAGAACCTTGCTCTCCCTTCACCCTCTCTTCGAACCCATCTCCTTTTGTGACTCTGTAATCGTTCTCCATCCTCACACACACTACATGGTTTAAAGAAAGAGAAAAAAAAACTTGAATGGCTGGTATATAATATCTATGTATGTCAGTGTGTACATGCATGTGTGTGTATATATATATATATATAGATCTTTTTTTGACTAATTTGTGAGATCTGTAAGATTCAATTTAAAACACAAAAAGTTAATTGAAAAATAAAAACTCTACAATAAATGAAAAACTTTTTTCTTCTCTCTCATCTCTCTCCCTCCTTATTTTTCTTCAATCTTTCTCCTATTTTCTCTATCCTTTCTTTTTTTCTCCATATCATACACACAATTGAATATGAAATCAAGATGAACAGATTGTGAACACTTTCTTAGAAATACTTTTATGGTGTGTGAACGCATTATGAACACTCTAAATCTGCGAGATCTGATATAGTTTGTGAACATATTATGAACACAAACTAAATTTAAATATAATCATAGAAATCCAAATTTCACATACTCGAAGATGTAAACAACTTCATAAAGATAACACAATGTAACGCCCCCAGAACCCCGTAGCAAGATATTGTCCGCTTTGACTAACCCGCACCTAACCGGTCACGGTAGCCGCATGGTTTTCTCCTGGCGTGGGCATGAACCGAAGTTCGTATCCCACCCAAAACGCGTCTTGCTAGAGAAGGTATCCACACCCTTATAAGGAGTGCTTCGTTCTCCTTCCCAACCGATGTGGGACGAGTGACACACCCGCATCGCGGCTGTTACACACAACATCTTAATGTAACCCATAAAATGATTAAAATTGAAAGCCTTGAGATCTTACATATGTCCATGAAACAATTGATCCACATTTGACACAAAAAATCTCTACAACTGTGTGTAATCCTGTCATCGTCAGTCTAGATTCCTTCACTCTGACTGTGACATTTGATCTGTCAAACATGACAAAGTTGTGATCTAACTTAACACTATCTGAATCCATATTTATGCACAAAGATTGAATCCGAGATACCCATCCTTCTACCTACCCCTAAAGTTTCCAATGTTCCATTCCTTTATATTATTTTCTTCTATTCTATGTTTTTCATCTTGTAGCTCATCTTAATTACTTTTTAATTAACTCCCACACCGTATTATTGGACCCCGCAAAATGGCTCTTAACAAATTTCCCTAAAAATTCCTTCATTTAACGAAATATTTTGATGACCTTAAAGAGAGGGACCAAATTTGGATATTCTTACAAACGACAATAACCATCTTATAAGTTTCGACAAACCACAGGGACCAAATTTGTAGTTTATTCTTCATATTCATATACTTTTCAGAAGGGTTGGAATCCTATTCGTGGACGATCAACGGTTTCCTGTTTTTGTTTAAACATGGGGTTTCACATGTCAACGCAAACCAAAACCTGGTGGCTGGTTTCTGTAAGCTGTAATTTCATTCCCGGTGGAGCCTCTTGTTTACCAACTCAAAGATTCAAACTTAAATGGATCCTATAAATACCCAATTCTTGATAATCACTGATTCATCCTAATATCAACCATAAACGCAAACCAATTCTACATTTGCTTAAAGATTTCTGTTTCAGCGATCAAGAATGTCGACTAATGTTGGTCAAGTGATTCGATGCAAAGGTAAGCATTTCATTTCATTCATTCTTTTGATGGCTAAAGATTTGTGCTGATCGTGGTTGTAAATTTCACTCAGCGGCGGTGGCGTGGGAAGCTGGGAAGCCACTGGTGATTGAAGAAGTGGAGGTGGCGCCACCCCAAAAAATGGAAGTCCGAATAAAGATCCTCTTCACCTCCCTGTGCCACACCGACGTTTACTTCTGGGAAGCCAAGGTAATCTACTAGCTTTATAACTATACTATCCATTTGCCCAAATCCATGGCTGAATCGTTGTTTCTATGAGCTTTTCAGGGTCAGAATCCTGTGTTTCCTCGAATTTTAGGTCATGAGGCTGGAGGGTATGTTTAATTCTTGTATAAAATTCTAAAGGGTTTCTGTTAATTCATTTAATTAATTTAGATGATGAATTTGATTGGAATGGATCAGGATTGTGGAGAGTGTTGGGGAAGGAGTGACTGATCTTCAGCCAGGAGACCATGTTCTTCCTGTTTTCACCGGAGAATGCAAAGAATGTGCTCACTGTAAGTCCGAAGAGAGTAATATGTGCGATCTCCTGAGGATCAACACCGATCGGGGAGTCATGATTCATGATCAGAAGTCTCGGTTTTCGATCCAAGGAAAACCCATTTTCCATTTCGTTGGAACTTCGACCTTTAGCGAATACACCGTGGTTCATGTTGGATGTCTTGCCAAAATCAACCCTCTTGCTCCTCTCGACAAAGTTTGTGTCCTCAGTTGTGGAATCTCCACAGGTCAGATCAAATCATATTTCAACAACATTTTCTGTTGGATTTTACATCAAGTTTTCTTGTATCTTGATCATGTTCTTTTGGGTGTTTTCAGGCCTGGGTGCTACTTTGAATGTTGCAAAACCGAAAAAAGGCTCATCGGTCGCCATTTTTGGACTCGGAGCTGTGGGACTTGCTGTAAGATTTGATCTGATTCTTACATTGACATTTTTATTTTTTAAAATATATGATTTGACTTGATTCTGATACAATAATGGTAATGATTTGATTGTGAGCAGGCTGCTGAAGGTGCAAGAATTGCTGGTGCTTCAAGGATCATTGGGGTTGATCTCAATGCCAATAGATTTGAGCTTGGTAAGTTTTAAAAATCTCACGAGTTTGATATGTGAATAGGAACTAATTAGATGAATAATGGGTTTCAACAGCAAAGAAATTCGGGGTAACGGAGTTTGTGAACCCAAAAGACTWCAAGAAACCGGTACAAGAAGTGATTGCTGAGATGACGAATGGAGGTGTTGACAGGAGTGTTGAATGCACCGGCCATATTGATGCTATGATCTCTGCCTTTGAATGTGTTCATGATGTATGAATTTACTCTTATACCCACTTCATACAAAACCGTTTTCTTTTGATTCATAGATGAATTTACTTGTACAATAACAAAATTGGATAAATTGACAACAGGGTTGGGGAGTTGCTGTTCTTGTGGGTGTTCCACATAAAGATGCCGTTTTCAAGACGAATCCTGTGAATCTATTGAACGAAAGGACTCTGAAGGGTACCTTCTTTGGAAACTACAAACCACGATCAGACCTTCCATCTGTGGTCGAAAAGTACATGAATAAGGTAACTGATATCGTTCACATTTGAATAATTAATTCATAAAAAGGGTAAAAATGGAAGAATGATGAAAAGTTTGTTGCAGGAACTTGAGGTGGAGAAGTTCATAACACATGAAGTGCCATTTTCTGAGATCAACAAGGCCTTCGATTTGATGCNGGTGAAGGTCTTCGTTGCATCATTCGCATGGATGCATAGATACCTTTTCAAAGTGTTGTAATTCTTGAAATCTACTTTCCCTTTCTTGATGTTTCAATTGAAGTAATTTTGATGTATAAATGCTTCTGTCATGAAATCTCTTTTGGTCCTCCTGCAATGTACTTTACAATTGTTTTAGTAAAGTTGTGGTTATCGTATTAAAAAGATTATTTGGGTCATTTAGTAAACATTTACCGATAAATATGGTATAGACCAAGAATCTCGGATGGAGTAGATAATTTCCTTATTAAATAAGTAAAAATCCCTCCCCAAGGTTAGTCTAAGTAAGGAAATGGGTACTCTCTTCACATCGAAGTAATCGTTTGTCTGATAAGAATGATGATAAGGATGGAGAGTTTTACCCGGTCAGCGAGGGTAGTGACTCTTACTTATCAGGTAAATTGTTGCATACGATACGTTTGATAGAATACAGTCTTACGTGAATTTGTAATTGCATGTAAAATATAACGTATTTTCTTATTTTTATTTTATTTCACACATTTTTAGAACATTCATTTTTATATCTTAGATATAATATCTTAAATATTTAGACCATAGTAAGCAACTTAAAATTGACATCAAATCAAAGTATGTTGTATTTTATACACTATCACATGTAAACCAAATTATTAAAATGAAGATTTTAAAAATATATTACATAAAACAAAAATCGAATTAAAATACATGCATTTTCATAAAACATGAAACTTGAGTCTAAACCAACAAATATATGGCTTGTTTTACAATATTAAAATTTTGTAAAAACAAATTTGGTTGACAACTTTTAGGCTATGTTTAGCAAACTAGCTTCGGCTATCTAGTAGTTGATAGGCTAGCTGATTAATAAATCATGTTTTGTAAAAACTAGTTCATAAACATATAAAATGACTAACAATGACATCTTAAAAAATTAATCAATTACAATATTTTATAATATAATTAAAACAAATCTCTAAAAATGTAATATGTTAATTAATATCAAAAGGATGATAAAAGATAAATAAATAATATAATATAT